TCATTCAACCAAAAGTCAGGCAGCCACAAGGGCCAAGCCCACTGGAAACTGAGCTTCACCAATCTCAACAGTTATGGAACCACTGGCTGTATTTTGGTAAAGTTTTGACTCTTATGGATTTATTTCTGCTTTCCAGTGCCTCCCCAGCAGCACCTGAGTAGAAAACCTGCCCCTTCAGCTCAGGCATTCTGTGCCCAAGGAACAGCTGAGTCTGGGGGCAAAATGTGAGTCATCTTAATTAACTGATTTCCTTTCCACCAACCTGTATTTCTAAAAATGGATCATTTTCTACAATGACATGTGATTTGAGTTCCTAGGGCTGTTTTCTTCATCTTCACTTATTTCCTGCTGGGGGGGTGGGGAGGGAACACACTACTCATCTACCCTGGACTAGATTTTATTCTTATGCCAAAAGAATAGATATTTCCCTCAGCTTTAATTTTAAGGAATTATTTTGGACAAATGCAAGATTCACACTGTAGAACAAGTGAATCAAAAATCAGGTTTAGAAGTTAGGGAAAGGAGCCCACCACCTATTAAATATCACTGTGCACCCACCCTCCTGCCAGCCTGCACCAATGGCTCGGGTATCTCAAAAGCAAATTCGAGTTTCTGCCAACTACAACGGGTTAATTAGAACAAGAAATAGCTGCACTTCCCTGATTACTTCAAGGCAATCGGAATATCCGAGTTCCTCTATCAGCCCTGGGTGCCCTGGGCTACCAGCCCCGCAGGATAGTCCAAGCTGATGTCAACCGTTTCCAGGCTGAGGTGACAAGCGCCGGGTGCTGATGTCACCGAGCGTGCCTGGCAGCGCTCCTGCCGCTGCCGAGCGAAAACAAAGCCAGGAGGATCTGCTGCTGGAGGAGGAGACTGTCAGTTCACGGGTGGCCGCCGGAGCAGAGCCCCGACACAGCTCAGCAGCACCGAGCCCCTGCCTGCTGGTAACACGTACAGAAATCCCCAGCTCTGAACTTGTGCAGCGCTGATGTTGTGAGATAACCCCCGAGTCCCATGAGCGGCAGGGCTCGATCCGGGCTCGGGAGATGTAATATTCTGATAAAAAACGGCACTTCCTTTTCGAGCAGATAAGTGCCTGTGCTAGCAGCAGGGCTGGAACCTCAGTCCCCGCCTCGGCCGGGCTGTGTCAGCCTCTCCTGTCTCACTCCAGCCTTTTAACCGCCCCCTTTCACACCCCGGGCTGCAGCAGCAATTAGCATCCCTAAACCACAAGTGTGGCTTCGAGTTCTTTTTATTTCACAACCATGAAAGCTTGTTAACATTCACAACGCCCCAAAAGCTGTCTGCCTCAACAGAGGAGGGGATGGAGCCAGGGCACAACACTTGGGCTTGGCTCCGAGACTCCTGTAGGACAGGACGTGGCTTTTAAATTTCATTTTAAAATTAAGGCTGCTTCGACTTCTGGCCACCAAAAGTAACAATGTTGGGGGCGCATAAAGAAAGGAGGGAAATTAAAGAGCTTCCTCCCCTGCCTCATTGCTCGTCTCTGCTCAGACCAGACACAGGAAGCACCATGGGAACAGTGTATTTTTTATGGTTGCAGGCAAGCACACACCATGTGCACCACAGCATGCAGCCTCCATTCCCTTGAGGCAAAAAAAGGGTGTTTTCTTTCTTTTTCCTTGTTCTCCTCCATCAAGCTTTTAATTAACATATCACCGTAGCCTTCTGCCTGATTGTTTGCCCCATGTTTGGCAATCATCTCTGCTGAAGCCCTTTTCAAAGGGCTGTGGAACAGGACAGGTTGAACTCTTCTCCTGGCATGGCCTCTCACCTTCACCAGTGGCACAGTCAGAATGAACCTCATCAGCCAGGGTTTGCCCATCCTCAAAGTGCCAACGCAGAACCACTTGCTGAAAAAGTGGATTCTCTCATGCCTGAGGAGCACCAGTTGTGATGTTTCAGCCCTATGCATTAATTTAGCACCTTTATGAAGTTTCTGCAGCCTTTTGACAGGATCACAGCACCACTTCCTGCAGACCAAGCACAAAAGGCTCCACCAAACTCGACCTAGACAACGTCTACATCTGCCCAGGCTCCAGCTTCTGCTCAAAGCCTCACACTAAGTCCCCACGATGTATTTAGAGTGTCATCCATTCATAATGCAAGATGCACAAAAAATGTCTAGTCCAAGAAACTGGAATGTCACTCCTTATGATGAATATTTGATGGGACATGGAAAAAAATCAGCTGTAACTACTGGAGGAACCCATGTTGTTACAGCCACGCCAAGGCAGTGGAAAGCAGACTATCAGGTGCTTCATCTCTGAGTCAGTGGCCTCATGTTCTCACGATGGCCTTCAGCAGATGGAACAAACCCAGTGGGCATGGATGGGGTAAGGGGTCAGGATTTTAAAAAAAGGTGTTTCCTGTGGTGCAGGGCTGTCATCTACCATGAGCTGCAAAGGTACTGGAGTGGAACTGCTCGCTCACAAGAGGGATGGATTACGGACACCGTGATTAACGTTTATGAGAACCACAGAAACATTTTCCATTGCTTCTCTTTAAATTTCCTTTGCAATGATGGTATTAGTGACCACACCTGGAGAAATGCCAGGCAGAGCTTTTTGGTTTTTTTTTCCTCTGCACAGACTTTTCAGGTGTAGGTAGGATACATTCCACTCCCCAAGCACCGTCACCAATGCTGACAATATTTTGATTTTGTGATTCTGGAGACCACCACATATTCATTTTTAACAGAGTTAGTGATCCCTGAATGATAATAACCCCACCAGGACAACAGTCAGAGTCTGGCTTCACTTATCTAGAAGTAAGACAGGTCATTATTGACCTGCAAGGACTGCTCAGTGACTCATGTAGCTGCTGCTGTTATATAGTAGGCTTGACACAAAAGCCAAGATTATTTATGAATTTTAGTACCAGACAGCAACTGAAGTGGTGCTGGGCTTTAGGAAGAAATCTAAGTGCACCCACTGGTAGCTGCACAGCCTAGAGTACTAGTGTAGCATGCTTAAATATTTAAGATTTATTCTGCTTCCAGTATCAGAATGACTGTAGAGAATCGTGTGTGAAACAATGAGGTAAACAATATATATTTTATGCCACTTTACACTGAGATTCTGTAGCTATCTTTTTTTCTGTGGATTTAAAGCAGCTTTCTCCTAGCACTCATGTCTTTATTCCTGCAGGGAGAATCAAAGAACAGAGCACTGCAGTGCTGAGTAGGCTGGTACTCACTTTACACTGAATGGAGGCTCTAATGGTAAGGGAGTCGCTCACTGACATGATGTTTTCTTGACATTTACAGCATTATCTTGGAGATGTAAATTGTCAGCATTTGCATTCCAGAAGAAATTGCAAAGAGATGTGAAGAGATCAGTAGTGATATAAAAACTGAATGGTACCTCAGTAGTATCAATATAAACATTCTCTCACAATTTAAGTTGCACCCGACTCAAACGTATGGAAAAGCACCCGGGAAATGGTGCTCAAGCTGAAGGGCCCAGACAGGCCAGGAATGGGAAACAGACCTGCTGCATGTGCAGGCAGTTGGAGAGGGCTCCACAGTGGGAAGGTGGGGAGAAGCCAGAGCAACCCCTCTGGGATGGTGACAGAAACCCTGTCCTGGCTTCCTGCACCCCAGCTCAGTGACCAGGAGGAACAAAGGCCAAGGACATGGAAAGCAGAGGCTGGAGTGAGCCAAGAGTGCAGATGGTGTAAGGGCTGGACAAAGAGCTGGAATATGGCTGTAAATATTCTATCTGAAAGGGAGATCAGATGCCTTGGAGGCAGAAAAGGCTCAAGCCTTCCACGTTCTGTGGATTTTTATCCACAGCGTTCAAAAACATCGAACTTCTCGTTTTGGGGTAAGCAGAGCAGAACTTGTCTGCCCAAGCTGGATTCCACCCCACAGACATCTGCACTGACACCCTCCACTGGCTGCAGAGTCCTGCTGAGCAGCAGCTGCCCGGGGCACACGAGACACTTCATCCTAAGTCAGACACCCAAATTTGGTCAGAAAACCTGCCTGTCAAGAACGGCCAGAGACCAGCACACTTCTGGACACTGGTGCTGCAGACACCCGAGTGGGATTAATTCCACCCTCCTCACGGGCTCTTTGGCTAGTACATCACTCCCTTGAGTGTTTTATGTTGTTTTCTACTTTGTTAATAAATAGTTACAACTTTAATAATGCAAAAGTTTAACCTCTGAACACTTCGTTTGAGTCCAAAATGAAGACATCACATCTATGCTACAGGGAACAACCAACATCTTATGTCCTTTAAAATCACCTAGTTCAGGAGCTGTTGCTTTTATCTGTTAAGTGATGAGGCCCTACTAGTTTTTGAAGATACACAGAAATATGCATTTATGTAGGGCCTCTTAAATTAAAAACACTGCATATTGGTTTGATTCTTTATCCCTACCTGTGTCTTCTTCCAGAGTTGCACAGGAAGGCTTTGCTGTCCAAATTAAACCATAAACACTGAACTGACCAATCTTCTGTTCATCCACAGTTAAAAGTCCAAGATTACTGTTTTAAATTCTACAGGGCTGAGCTGTCCTATGAATTTGAAGTAACCTGGCTTTTTTTTTTTTTAAAGAAAGGGCAAGTTTTTTTCAGCTATGAGTAGCTTACCACCACCAATAAAAAGTACAGTTCTCACACACACATTTGTCATATGCAAACTACTTTTACACCTCTGTCTGCTACCACACACATTAAAAGAGCTCACCATATGTACAGGCTTTTTTATCTTGCTGTCCATATTTCACAGATCCTCTAGCAGTGACCTTTATAAACTGCACGTGAGGTTCCCCGATGGAAAACATTTGCTCCTCCTTTAGAGTGTGTTGAAAAGCTCTGAACTGGTACTGGTATCATTATTCCTTTTACAGACACACAGCCAAATCAGAGCCATGATAGAGCATAAACTTCCCAGTCTCTCTCACAGCATAATCAGATTATTAAAAAGATAAAATATAACTTATTTTTCAGAATTCAGTCTCCACTTTACCTCCTGCTTCTTCACCAGACTGAGTGTGTTCCTTCATCTCTTCTGCACTATCCATAGTTTCCATTTCCTGGGATTTGTTCAGGTTACACTCTGTCAAAACCTCCTGTCCTTCTGAAAAGAAAAAAATTGACCAATAATTAACTCTCTATGCTCCAAGAATATTTCCAGATGATTACCTCAAAGCATCTGCAGACTCCCAGCACTGCTCACAATGCCCACAGCCTTCTTCCTATAGATGTGGTTACTCCAGTTTGTTGACTGGATTTGCTTCCCAAAGCCATGTACAAACTCTCACACAGAACACACACACACACATTTAAGTTTTAAGATTAACTATTCTGGTGGTTGTTCTAAATGACAAAAAAAAACATCAACCCAGGAATCAATCCCAGGAGATGTAACTTCATATATCAGGTGTGTTCTGACAACTGCTGCGAGCAGGTGAGTTCTTGAGGGTAAGCAAGTTCAGGTAAGCAAGTTCTTCAGGGCATGGAAAAGGAATCACAGCTCTACCTTGTTCACTTGGGCAAAATATTAATTATCCTGGCCTCAGGCCAGGAATCAGCTCAGCCCGTTGAGTCAGAAGCCTCTTTGAACCCAGCTGCCCTCCTCTGCTCATTTCACCCATGTGCTTTGAAGCATCCACGTTATCAGAGAGTTTTCTGCTGGTGCTGGTGGCAGCAGGAGGTCCCAGGAACCCTCTCTGCTCTCAAAGCCACATTTTTTATTATGGTGAAATTTATTTGGCTGAAGTTTTTCAAAGAAAGCCTCTTTCATAAAATCCATCACACAGACTAGCTCAACATTAGGCATATTTCTGCACGTTTCAGGTCAGTATTTTGTTTAAAAAACGAGGAGTTTTCCTTCAACAATCCTGTGATTTATTGAAGTTCACAGCAGTGTTGTGAAATAGCTGTTTAAATTGTTTAACTTCACAGCTGGAGAGCAAAACCCCCCAATCCTTCAAGCTAGGAGTTACATTAGGTCAGGAAAAAAAGCTATTTTTTGATTAATGAGAAATTAAACCCCTTGTCCAGCTCACACAAGAGATTTGTGTTCATATTTTTGGAAATGCAGACAACCAAAAGAACCACATTATTCTTGCCTCCCCACACAAAATTCTGAAGATGTTTCCTTTCCTGATATACAGACTTCTTTCCCTTTATAATTTTCTAAGACAACATGGAACTTCCACATTATTATTTCAGTTCTAGAATTTACTTTTTGCCTTTAATGCCCATCTTTGCACTTGTGACTGTGCTATTCAATGTCCTGGGGATCTAAACAAGCTGCAATTTGTCTCTTTTCTTGCTTTAAAAATTAAAGATTTCAAGAGCAGGTGAAAGAACTGAACGAGCACAGTACCTGCAGCCAGGGGCTGGTCCTGAGAATTACTTAGGTCCATACCTGCCTGTGAATCTGCAAAAGACACAAGAGCAGTTTGAGTTGCTTTGCACTTAGAACCATTCCCAACACAGTTATTACCATCATAAATTCCCATTTTCTTGACTGAAAGCACAAATTTCAATGAAATAATTACCAAGGAATTATTATGTTTCATTGTATAACTTGTTTATAGATCTTGAGCACTGGCATGTGCCCAGAAAATTGATTATTTTCTACTGAAAGCAAAATTGAAAAAGCACAAATTTCAATGAAATAAATACCAAGGAATTATTATTGTATAACTTGTTTATAGATCTTGAGCACTGGCATGTGCCCAGAAAATTGATTATTTTCTAACTTCAAAAACTTAGCAGAAGAGCATAACTTACACTTTTGATTTCAGAGCTCAGTTTGCACCCTGTGAGCACAGCACAGCAGCTGGAGGTGAAGGGAATTCCTATCACGCACAAAGTGCAAGATACTTTTACATTCCAACACCAAAGGAAAATCCTGTTATCTTCACAAGATCTACTTGGCTTTAACGGGAATGCAAGTCCAAATCCCAGTTAGAAAATCTGATGGGGATCCAATATCAGGAATTTCTTCTAAAAATCGAGGACTCCCTCCATGGGCTGGTTTCCAGGAGCGCCGAGCACTCAGACTGCTCTGAACACAGCCTAAGCTGCAGGGATTTGCATCTCCCACTCCAGTGCCCAAATTTAGGCTGGCACGTTGAGCTGGAGGCACAGACCTGATCTGCCCAGCTCAGTCTTTACTCAACGCTTTGCTGCCTTGAGATTTCACTGATAGGAGGATGGATTTCTGAGCGGCGTCACGGTTACCTGCCTCCTCCCTCCTTCCTTTCCTCTAGCTCTTTTCCTTTTTTTAAACACACCAGAAAATCTTTTCTCATCTTTAAACATAAAAATTAATCACTCCAGGACCTGTAAAATTCATTCCTGGCAGTTACATAACAGAAATAGAGCTGCCGTGGCCCTGAGGTGTTAACCACGAGTGACATTTACCCCATAACTCTCTGTCTTCACCACCACTGCACATGGAACATTTCTGTGGTCTCTGCAACGTCAGAACACAAAGCTCTGTTAACTCTGAGTATCAGATGAGGCTAGCCAAAAAAACTGCAGGAGCAGAGGATGGGTTCAGGCTCCAACAACAAAAAAAAGGCAAACTGAGAAAAAAAAAGAGCAATAATAGAACTACCCAACAAAGGTTTTCTTCAAGGTTTGGTTTTGTTTCCTAACTGAAAGCAATCAGCTCCCATTTGTCAGTCATGCCTCTAAGACCTTACGCAGGGAGTTCCCATTGCTCTGGACCTGCTATTACTGAAGACAAAAAAAAAAAACCCCAAACAAACCCACTATTAATGATTCAAACCATCCAGTAGCAGCCTGAGCTCTCCAGGGTGTAACTCCTGACCGCAGAGCAGTTGTGGAGCTATTAGTGCTTGTGAAATGTATCCTAAAATTCAGTCAGAGCTCCTTTCGTGCCAGCTTTGCGTGAGCACACGCTTTCCAGTAAGTGCCTCTCATTAGAGCTAAGAAGGTCACCTCGTGTCACAGACAGCCAAGGAACCAAATGACAAGAAGTTCAAGCATTTACTAAATCTGTGTTTTTTTAAAACAAATAAGAGGAAGGAATGCCCTAGTTATGGCTTTTCATTTGTCTTTGTTTCATTTTATCATACCAGGAAAAGCAAGGTACAAAACAGCAAAGGGACCAATTGATCCTGTGCATAGTGATGGGGAAACATCAGTAAATACACAGTACAATGAACAAAATCCTCTCCAGACATTGCACAATTACTAAGATTTGTGTAACTATCTATATTATTGCAAATAATTAAGCTTTGGTGAAACAATGAAATCCCCATTGTTCTGCAACACCTGGATTTGGTTTTAATTGCACGCAGAAATCCGGAGCAGTTGCCCCATTTGGATGACAAAGCCTGAAGTGGTGAAAGCCCCAGGACTGAGGCAAAAGGGCACCTGCCAGGTGGGGGAGAGGAGTGGCTTGGCAACAGCAGCAATTCTGCCTTCCCCAGCTTGCCAGAAGGTCTTGAAATGAGAATTAGAGCCCATAGGTGGCTGCTTCAAATCGGATAATCCCGTGTATATTCCTGGGTGACTGCCTTGGGTTAGAAACCACTGCAACCCAGCTGGAGAGCTAAAATCAGCAGCACACTGTAGCTGCTTCCCTTCTGTTACACATCCTGGTCTTGGGATCACTTTCAAGCCTCCAACATCCACTCATGAGTCCTTTATGACATTAGTCTCAAGGAGCTGGAGTGGTCTCGTTATTTAACCTCAAGCCTCTCACAAGTATTTTAACCCAGACCCTTCGCCGTGTCACGTAAAGGTGCCAGAAGGAGAAGGTCTGGGAAGCTTCCAACCACGACTCTGGACCAACAAGACCATGTTTCTACCTAATGCTGAAAAAAAGCACAATGCAGGGGATGACTTACAGAGCAGGTTAGTCTTCCAAGAGATCCACTGGGCAGTCGCCGCTCGTCTGCGTGTGCTGCCGCTGCCGCAGGACACTCATTTAGCAAAGCAGAAGTAAAATCTGTGTGCTTTTGAAACCCATCCTTCACCATCCCGTGTTCCACACCAATAGCCAAAGTGAGCAAAAATATTCAAATAGCTTGCCAAAAAAAGTGCTAGGGCTTTTCAACGCGGGACAGCGTTGATGTTATCCCGGTACTGGACCAATGGAAGCAACAAGAGCCTGCCTGTATTTTAACCCCCTAAAATGGGATGTTTCTCAAATAAATGATAATAGTAACACCCTTTGATCATCAATACAGCTGTAGCCAACAGAACGAGAGGTTTATCTTGAGTTATTATAATCTTAAGGCAGAATGTGGCCCTTCCACTGCCAGCTGCAGTTCCCAACCCCAGAGCACCGAGAAAGGGACATTTTCAAATTCCCTCAGCCCCTCAACCCCAGCACACGGAGCAAACACAGCTTGTCTCCCTGTCTTTGCACCCTCTCTAAAAGGCACAAGGAAGCCAAAATACACCACTCACCAGTCCTGGCCCTGTCCCACATGCAGATTCCCCCAGCCTTATCCCCAGGTGCCCGCAGCAGAGGCAGTGCCCTTGCATCAGCCTCTTCCACCCTGACACAGAGAGGCAGAAAGGGAGAGAAAGTCCAGCTGACTCCCCCCAGAACAGCCTTCTCCAGCATTTTCCATCCCAGTGCCTGCTTGAGGAAGGTACCTGGATGGACTCCACTCTTTGCAGGGTCTCTAATACTTTGTTGCTGGGAAGCACCACGTTTGGAATGACCCAGGTACTGTAAGCACATGGCATTTGGGGAAGAAATCCTGATCAGTAGCATGTAGCTAAGGAGAATGTTTTCCTGATATGAACTTTAAAACCAGCAGTTTTCTAATAATCAGCACTTCAATCCCAGTACAGCAAATGGAAATGACAGCATGAGGTCACTTCTTGGGATCTTTGCAAAACCAAACCACTCCTGAAGAGGTGCAGCCAAGCAAAGACTGGGGATTTTGCCTTCCCAGAGCCAGGTCTCAGGCACCTTCTCTTGCCAGCTCCCATCTCCTGGTCAGTGACTGTACTGAGCCCCCCAACACTGGGCAGAGAATCCAGCACAGAAGCATTACCCCTTTGGCCTCAAACTTCCCATTGATTCTAGTGGAACTGAGACTTTCTCAAGACCCAGAGAAAGAGAGACACTCAGCAGCTGCTGTGCCCAGAGGTAAGACAGTGAAACACTTCTACCTGCACTTCATCCCCAACACAACAAGCTCAGGCACATCAACTGAGCCTCATAATCCCCACACACAGAACTACAACCTGAAGGGTTATTTGCATGTTAACGTTAAGTGCACAAAAAAAAACAGGAACCCAGAAAAGAGCTGTCTTAAATAATCTCGGTTGTAATGGCAGAAACCAACACACCTAAAGCACCTTCTCTCCCATAACACACACCCAGCAGATCTGATCTGAGCCAGAAAATGAGGCTGCATTTTCAAACGTCAAGCTGCCACCAGACCCATTCTTTCAAAACATGAGTTGTGTCTCTCAAGCAGCAACAGTCTTGATCCAGTCCGATTCTGAGGAATGACTGAAGCACAAACATTTTAAAAACCTTCAGCACAGGAGAACACACCGTTAAATAGGCAATTACATCTAACTCAAAACAACCAAACCCCTCAAGCCATTGAGATGTAGCAGGATTTAAACTCAAGCCCTTAAAGCAATGAGCTGAAGTAAGAATATCCACCTCTGAAGCGATGCTTTGCAAGGCTTCCTTGCCAGGCTTGTTAAAGACACTGGTAATTTGGTTTTTCCTCCCCAGCGAGGTATGCTGCAGCCCAAGATCAACTCGCAACCTGTTTTTCGCCGGCTCTAAAAGTTACTCGCACGTTTTAGGAGCGGGAAGAAACCAAGGCGCCCTTTAACCCGTTACAAGCTGGGACGGGAGCAGCGGGCGGAGCGGGCACCGAACCCCAGCGTTATCTACATCTGGCGACGCTTCCAAAATTAAACCGAGCCGGGGGGAAAAGCCCCGTTCGCCTCCTGCCTAACTGCGACCCGCGGTTCGATTCCTCCTCCCGAGGCTGCGAG